TGTGGGGGGGGTAACTGCAGGGGCGGCACCTACCCAGGTCGGCGTCTGTGCTCTTCTTCATGTCCTTCTGCAGCCTCTTCGTCTGCTCTTCCAGCCTGAAGGCAGGGGCAGCCCAGGACCAGCCTCACTAGGCTGCGTGGGGCCCCTTCCGTCCCCTCTGCCTGAGTTAAGCCCACAACGAGACTGGTATGTACGCTAGGGAGGAGGCGAAGGGGCCCTCTCTCCTCCATGGGACACTGCCCACTGATTGAAGTGCCCCTCTGGGCTGGGGCTGGGCCAAGCCCCAAAGGCTACGAGCTGATGACTCCGGGGTCCTCTGCTGGGCAGTTTCTGGAAGCCCGCTGAACTGGGTACCCGCCCCGCCCCAGCTCAGGGGCAGGAGGACACCTGGGGGTGCTCCCACCCATCCCCCGGGCTGACACTTACTGCTGGAGTTTTCCATACTCCCTCTCGAAGTCTCTCTCCACCTGCAACCGAAGAGAGAACTCCATCATCGGAGGAACGACAGCCGCTGGGAAAGCCTCCCGGTCTGCGACAGCAGTGCCCGTCTGTGCAGGCACCGACAGATCGGCCGGCAGCACCCATGCTCCCGCTAATTAGGGTGCCACCTGGGAGAGACGCCCCCCCTCGACGGGCCAGCCAGGCAGGCAGCGGCGGACCACCCAGTGCATGTGGCGTGAGTGGCCTTCTCAGAACGTGATGGAAACCCCCGCAGAGGGCAGGCCTGGGCTTTAGGACTGAACCTCCTGCTTGCTGCCTCCCTCCCACAGGGCCCCTCCCAGGTCCTCCTGCCCGCTGCTGGGCCAGGTGGGTGGAGTAGGGCCCAGCCAGGCCTCTGGGCCTGCACCCCTGCCTTCTGGCTGGGCTAGTCTCCCTGGGTGTGGCAGGGAGGATGGGCAGAGGCGGGGGATGAGGCTCTGGTACTGGCTGTGAGCCCTAGGGTGCCCTGTACCAGGACCTCACTATCTTCTCGGTGAAACGGGCCATTCTGTTTGGTCACCACATGCACAGGGAGCAGGCGGCACGGCCTGCACGCGGGCTCTGAGGGTCAGAGGGTCGTGGCACCCCGTGCCCTCAGGGCCTGTCCCCTGCCTCTCCTGCTTCCCCAGTGTGACAGGGAGGCGGAAGACGGGACGCAACCTGGGCCCTGGGCTGTGAGTCTTAGAGGGAGGCGGCGGCTAGGTGGCCTGGCCGGCGGCTGGGGGTCCTGGGTGACCTGGCGGTGCCACGTCTCCCTGCCCGACCTCAGAGCGGGCGGTGAGCAGTGTCCGCACACCGAGAGGGTCTGTTTCCAGAGACGAGCACAAGCGGTGTCCGGGGAGGGAGGGAGTGCCTGGGCTGGGCTGCTGGTGCTGGCCTCCCTGTGCAATCCCCCAGGTGTGCTGGCATGCGGGGTGCCCGAGAACACCTGGGCTCCCCGGCCGGGGACCGCCTGGACTTGCAGGGAGAGGGGCTCCAATGAGGCGGAGTTCCAGCCGATGAGAACATAGGCCTCCCACTGGAAGTTGAGAAGGGCGTCGGGTGGGGGCAGGCGCCCTCTACTCCACGCAGCTCAGGCCCAGGATGGCCCCAGAGGAGCTCGCCAAGGCCCCCTGCCCTGACTCCAGGGCCAGGAGTAGGCTGCTTCCATGGCTCACTGAGAACTCCCCACCCTGCACGGGGAGACCGGGGGAATGCCGGCAGGACTCCAGCTCAGATGAGGGCTGAGAAGAAAGGACCCGCTGGTCTCCCTCAGAGGTCTGTGCATTTCAGGGAAAAGCCCAACAGAAAAGATCTGAACATCTCTGAGCGCTTGATGCCGCTGCCAAAGGCACCTGGACCCCAGTCAACACCGCGAGTGCAAACACATGTGCGCGGACCACCGGGGGGCCAGGCCTGCTGGGCCAGGCCGGCGAGGTCAGCGCAGGGGGAGTCAGCCCCCAGACGGCTCCCTCCCTCGCAGCTCCCCGTAGCCGCTGCTCTGTCCGCGGGCTGGGGCAGTGGCCCGGGCACGGGGTGGGAAGGTGGTCTTCGTTCAGTGCACCCGCCCAAACTCGCACTCGTGGAGAAGTGGGAGAGGAGCCGTGGTGGGTGGCCCCGGGGCCTCAGACCAGAGCTGAGGTGCAGGGCGTCCTGAGAAGCCCCCGGTCAAGGGGAGCTCTGAATGAACAGCTGTCAGCCCTGCACAGGGTTCCAACGGGGTTGCGGCAGATTCCTGGGGCAGAGGTCCCCCCACTTGGCATGTGCACTCCATCTTTCACGGGGAGCTCAGCGCGGCCCTCCCCCGGCATCTACCTCCATGCCTGGGTGCATGCTCTGCTTCCCTCTCAGGACCCATGGAGCTCGCCAGGGAGGGCAAGGCAGGCCAAGCCCCACAAGCCCTTCCTATGGCCAAGGTCACACGGCGAGGTCAGCACAGAAGCCAGCCCTTCTCTGCCACTTCTCTGCTCCCCACTAGGGCGCTCTAGCACTGTATGGGCCCTGGGAGAGCGGGGGACACATGGCATGCAGGGTCGAGAGTGGGGCTGTGCCCTTCCCTCAGTCTGGGGGCCAGCGCTGGAACATGCATTGCAGCTGAAGGCCCGACAGTCAGGGATGTGCCCGAACCACCTGGGCACGAAGGGAGGCGGGCAGGCAGGCAGGCACACAAGGCCTCCTTTGTGCTGACAGCTGGTGCCCTGAGCCAAGAAGCTCCTGAAACTCCCTGAAGATAACATGAGCATTTCTTCCCATGACAGGGGTGCCATGACTTCCAATAACCTGCAGCCCCATCTGCTCCCTCCCTGACAGTGCCAGGCCGGAGCCGCAGCGCATCACCACCGTCCAGGGACAGCTGCCAGGGATGCTGAGACACTGCACAGCCCAGGCCCGCCTGGCAGCTGGGAGTGCAGGGAGGGGTGAGGAAGGAGGCTCGGCAGAGGCAGGGGCTTGCCACATGGCCTCCAGTGCCGCTGCCAGTCAAGCGGTGCAAGCCAAGAAAGCAAATTGCCCCATCACAGGCTGTAACTCAGCCTTGATTCCCAGTGAGAGCAAAGGCCTGGCCCTGCTGCACCGACGTTGAGCTGCTGGGGCCAGCCGAGTCCTTGACGGTGAGTGGGGAGGACAAGCTACCGCTTCCTGCAATGTATTCATGTTCCCAGGCCTTTGCATGTGGCAGACACGTGTGAGCTGTCTTACATACGTCACGCTGAGTGACACTCCTAACACCGAGACGTGTGTAGGTGCTGTTATCCTCATTGTACAAGCGGGCTTGCTAAGGCTCCCAGAGGGCAAGGAACTTGCCCAAGGTCACGGACGGCACACGGACAGCCAGGATGGGAACTGGGCTTTTTTTCTTTTTTCTTTTTTTTTTTTTAAGAGAGATTTTTTGCTTCAGGGCCTGTATGCTTGCTGGAGAGACAGAGAGAAAGAAAGAAAGAAATCACCCTCAGGAGGATGGCCATGCCACAAGCCCTTCTCCGTCCTCCTCTCGGGACCTTGGACATATATGCACACGTTCCTGGCAAGAATTTTAAGCTGCTGAGTCCAGGACTTGAACTGCAGTTGACCACATGGGAGTCCAGCAATGCAATCATTATGCCATCTGCTGGCCCCAGGGAATCAGGCTTCTTAACCACTCTCCGACACAGGGTATCTGGGGGAACTGACACTGTGAGTTAGAGACGACAATTCCATCTGGAATAAGACAGACCGAGGAAGCCGCTGGAGAGCCCCGCAGCCCATGCTCCGCGGTGGAAAACAGGCCCCCGTGATGCAGGTTGGGGTGCTGGGAAGGTCTTTTGCTTGTTTTTTGGTTTTCGTAAAAGTGCTGGGCTCACGGACCCTTCGAAACGGCTTCCCTTTCAGGTCCTGGATGGTGAACTCTGGAGACGCAAAGCCACACCTTCCCGCTTCCTGTGGCTGGCCGAGCCCAGTGCCCACGCCCAGGCTCTGGGCTCCGGCTGGAGCCTCTGCAGATGGCTGGCCCCTGCATGGGAGGTGGCCGCCCAGCCGCCTGCGACCTGGCTCTGCACAGGCGGGGAAGGCTTTCCTTGGTAGAAGACAGGGCCGGTGGTCAGGTGGGTGCTGAACAGAGACGCTGCCTTCCCCATGGCTCTGAGGGCTCAGCCGAGGAGGGAAGGAGTCCAGATGGCTCGGGGAACTGCCAGGGGCTGGGGTGGCAGTCAGACCTCAATGGCATGGCCAGTGCGGAACTGTCGCTGGGGGGCTCCACAGTCGGGGTGTCCCAGCTGGCAATCAAGAGCCTTGCTCTCAGATCCACAGTGAGGGCACGGAAGAGGGTACTCCATACCGGAATTCCAAGATCCCAGAGGCTCACACTCGAGTTTGAGTCCAGCTCTGCCAGGTGAAGTTTCTACCGCCCTCCAGAGTCATTGTGACTCCAGGCCTCAATGCTCCTCGCTGGGGAGAACCAGGGGACGGGGCCAGATGGCCTGACGGGTTTCTGGCTCTGCCTTCCTCAGAAACTGTAATTCTCTCCCTCCCCCACTGAGGAGACAAAATAGGGACAGAAACTGGGGCTTAAAGAGTAAGGCTGGGCCTGCCACACAGCACTGAAGTTAAATGCTCTGCATAGAGGCTGGGTCCCACACGGCCGACGGCAGTTCAAATCTCAGCCCTGGTAGCTTGAGAAACACGCTGAGAACATGTGCACGCATGCCTGAAATCCTGAAGGGATGGAGAAATGGGAGAAGGGACGATGGCGTGGCCATGCCCAGTTGCAGGGTGCGCTCTCTCTCTGGTGAGCATATGCACCCTCTGGCAATAAAAAATGGAGGAGAGAGACGACGATACACTTCAATCGCCCCTCCTGGACTCTAGCTAAGAGCACACGGGGGACCAGAGAGAAGGGACCTGGGCCTGGAGAAGCTCCTGTGGTCTTCCACGCAGCTGGGGTGGTCTGAAATAAAGGCCACGGCCACGTCCGTGGTGGTGGCGGCATCTATGTTTCCGGAACCTTCTTTGGAAAGCATAGAGCACCAGGCTGGTTCCTAGAGAGGGGCTGTTAAGAAGTGGGCCCAGGGTGGCCAGCAGGTGTTGTGGTGGCTAAGGTGCTGGACTCCTACATGGCCCACTGCGGTCGGAGTCCCAGGCCTGGTGGCTTCAAAGTCATGCTGCTGTGTATGCATGCCCAAAATCCCAGCAGGAGAATGGAGAAGGGATTACAGTGTGGCCATCCCCCCAGGAAGAAATTTTCTTTCTCTCTCACTGTCTCTGGTGAGTACCCATGCCCTGTGTCAAAACCTTAAAAAAAATAGAGGCCCAGGGCTCTTCCGCCTATTCCACCTGCCCCAGGATGCGGAAGTGCCAGGCCAACCTGCGTGGGGAAGACATCCTGTCAGGAGTTCCTGGCGAGCCTCAGCCTGTGGGGGGTCTTGACCTGGGTAAGGCCCAGACCACTACCTCCCAGCCCCGAGATGCGCTGTCAAAGTCCGGCTCTGTGGAAGGCCATGAGACAGCTGGGCCGTGGGAGGACTGGCTACTCACAGTTTTGGGGATGATCTGTTTCTTGGGCTGCCCGATCTTGAAAGGAATCCTGTAAGAGGAAGAGAACAAGGGGTGAGGTGAGGGCGGAGAGGGTGTGGCCAAGGGGTAGCTGCAGGTGGCCCTGGGCCCAGGACGGGGAGGGTGGTGGTGGCCCGCTACTTGCTACAGAGCCATGTGCCCTCACAGGCATGGGACATCAGGACCTGGCTTGGTTCCTGGGCACACCTTCTGCCCAGAGCGCTTCCCCTAACCATCAGCCATTCACATATGCTGAAAACCTGAGGGCAGGAAGGGGGCACACCAGTAACACCAACCGCAGGCTCCTTGAAATAGCTACCAACCTGGAACCCAGGCCTCACTACAACAGCACAGGGCTGGCCCCAAGGCCTGGTGGTTAAGGGGGCTGGATCCCACGGGGCCGACTCCATGGGTCCTTTTCCAGGCTGGTGCATGTTCCCCAGGCCCCGGGAGGATGGAGAAACAAAGGAGAAGGGGCTGTGGTGTGACCAAGCCCCACTGGGGAGTGCTTTCCCGTCCCCTCCCCCCCTCTAGTGAGTATGTGCACCCTCTGGCAATAAAAAGCAAAAACTGAGAGAATAACCCCACAAAAATGACTGGTCATCTCTATCAGGAACTGCACTTCTCCAGGAGGGGTGCGTGGTGGCTCTGCAGAGCTCCTCGGGAGGCTGGGACGTGGCAAATGACAAGGGCATTAATGACTGGCTGGGCTGGGTTATTTCTCTGGAAAACAGACACACTCTAAATGCAGCTAGCTAACTCCAAAAACCCAGAATGGGGCGCCCACGTCCATCTTCCAGGATGTGTGGCCCTGCGGGTGCCCGCTTTGCCTGGAGATGGCGCGGCCCCGCGGGTGCCCACCTCGTCTGGAGATGGCGCAGCACCACAGCAGGGGGACCAAGGGTCTGGGAGCCTGAGCTTGTGCACGCCCCGCCCCAGCACGGGGGCTGCAGTTCACCAGGGAGCCGTAGCACCAGGGCTTACTTCCGGCCCTGGAGAGCCCAGGGTTCTCTGACTCCCAGACGGTAGAAACTGCAGCCAGGCTAGAAAGCAAAGGGGATGTGCCAATAGCTGTCTAGGCTGGGGGGCTTCCCGCAGGAGGTGGTGAAGGGAGGAGGGCTGCGGCCCAGTTGCACTCGCTACTCCCCCTTGCAGCTCTCGGTTCAAACCTCCCGCGCCCAGCACAGCCGGCCAAGTGTCCCCTCTCCACCACCTTCTATAGCATTTGGCTCAAGCTGACCGCACCACTGCTAAACCCAGTGGTGTAATTAACCATTTTAATAACCCCAGACTGCGACCTGGGGAGGGGCTGGGCTGGCCTGAGTCACAGTGGTTTAAATTTAATTTCTAGAGGACATCCTGTTTATTGTGAAGGCAGCCCCGTAATTTGGGAGCATTAACCCTTTGGGGGCTGGCTGATTCACGTGGCTCCCGTAAACACTGTCTGGCAATGTAATTGCTGGGGGGAAAGTAAACTGCGGGAAAAGAAGAAAAAATGAAATTGTCCTTTCCTGTCTCCAGACTGAAAGAGCAAAGGTTGGAGGGAGCTGAGTGCCCCCCCCGCAAAGCCCCCTGCTTCTCCCTAACTCAGGATGGTAACTGCCCTCCAGGAGCACCTGGGAGTCTGCAAAGGAGGTCCTGGCGCATTCCAGAGGAGGCGGTGCCTTGGGGGAAGCCTGCTGCAGCGAAAAAGGCCCTAGGCCAGGAATCGGAATGCCTGGGAAAGCCTGGCCTCTGCCGCCGACTGTTCTGGAGCTCTGTGTTTGAGACTGAGAGCGAGAGGACCTTGCTATGGGGCAACCCTGCCTCAGCCTCCCTAGTGGCTGGAGTCACAGCTCTGCACCACCGTGCCTGGGAATCAAACCTGAGCCTCCCAGCCCACACCAGCCAGCACACACGACCACAGCCGGGTCTCGGTTTCCTCCCTCTGAGACAAAGACGTTGGAAGAGACTGTCTCTCCAGCTTAGTTAAGGCTGGGATTTTCAGCTGACCCCCATGCTAAGGCTGCAGGGTGGAGGATAAAAACGCTGAAGCATTCTGAGTGGTCTTCAAAGTGGTTCCAACCCAGAGTCTAGTACTACAGATGGGTTCCAAGAACTCAGGAGCTCAAATCCATTGTTTGCGGTGCCACAGCCTCTGTACGTCTTATTTTAGAACACTGTATTTTTAGAACCGCAGGTTACCATAGAAATTTTCTCCCAGATCAACCCTCTCATTTGGTGGATGAGGAAGCAGACCAGGAGAGGGCCAATGACTAGTCCAGGGTCATCCCGCTGATCAGGAGACACGCAGGAATCAACGGGCAGGGTCCTGATTCAGCCTGTCCTGTTGCCAGTCGGTTCAATGCCCTCTGCCTGTGAACTTGGGACACGCAGTGACCAGCACCCGTCTGAAGGTGCTGTAGCGCCAGAAGGGCCTCGCTGTTCTTCATGTGCCCAGAAATGCAAGAGTGAGTCTGTGCTGAACTGGGGCTTCTGCCCAAAACGAGGGTCTGTGGCCGCGCAGGCCGAGGCGTGCGTGGAGACCCAGCTCGGTATCTGGACTACTTCCTAACTCACCTGCTTCACAGCCGTTCCTCTCCACCTGCTAGAGGAGCAGCTAGAAAGCAGGAGCTTTTATAAAGCTTTTGGCTGGGGCCGGCAGGTGGCCTGGACTCCCATGTGACCGACTGCAGTTTGAGTCCTGGACTCTCTCTGGCCAAATTAAATAGTAACAATAATAAAATAAAAATAATTCTTTAAAAAGTAAATGTTTTAGATGTACAAAAAAACTGTGAGGTAAACAGCCTCCGTGTCCCTCACAGTCCCCCTAATTCACATCTGACATCAACATGGCACATCTGTGAGTGAATAAACCGACTCCCAGACACGAGAGCCTCCAGGTGCTCGGTCCCGAGTGGTTCCTTCTTCAGCCCCAGGTCCCATCCAGGTACGGGACCTCCAGTCGTGAGGTCCCCGGGTCAGCTGCAGGGGTGCTGGTCAGGCACCAGGGACTCGCAGCCTGGAGGCAGATGACCCGGGAAGAGCCTCCCCACGTGTCACCGTGGGGACAGGCTGTCCACATTGCCTCCACCAATGCTGGCCCTGACTGCCAGGCTCAGGCTCCGCTGCAAGGGTTGTGTGTGTGCTCCCAGACTGCACTTGGGGAGGAAGCCAGGACGGAGCTGCAATTCCCTCGTGTGTTCACGTGGGTGATTCGTCCACACCGGGTCACACCCCTCCTTTACTCAGGCTGTGCAGCCTGGCCACTGGCAGCTTTCAGTTGGCCCTGAGTCCTTCGACTAACCCACATGCGTGTGTGTGTTGTGCTTGTGTGCATGCAGTGTGTGATGTGTGCGTGTGGTGTGTGTGTGTGGCACGTGCGTGGTGTGTCTGTGAGTGCTGTATGTACATGTATGTGGTATGTGTGTGGTGTGCATGTGCACATGTAGCGTGTGTGCATTGTTATATTGTGTGTGTGTTGTTCTGTGTGTGAGTGGTGTGTGCATGTGTAGTGTGCGTGGTGCATGTGTGTTTGTGTGTGGGATGTGTGCAGTACATGTATGTGTAGCATGTGTGTTGTATGTGTGGTGTGTGGGATGTGTTGTGTTGTGTGTGATGTGTGGTGTGTGTGTGGTGTCTGTGTGTTGTGGTGTATGTGTGTGATGTGGTGTGCATGTTGTGTGTGATGTTGTGTGGTGTGTGTGTGATGTATTGTGTGTGTTGTGTGCTGTGTGGTGTGTGTGTGTGGTGTGTGTGTGTGGTGTATGTGTGTGATGTGGTGTGCATGTTGTGTGTGATGTGTGGTGTGTGATGTGGTGTGTGGTGTGTGTGTGATGTATTGTGTGTGTTGTGTGCTGTGTGTGTGTTGTGTGTGATGTGGTGTGTGTGTTGTGTGCATGTTGTGTGTGTGTTGTGTGTGATGTGTGTGGTGTGTGTGTTGTGTGTGATGTGATATGTGTGTTGTGTGTGTTGTGTGTGTGGTGTGGTGTGCGTGTTGTGTGTTGTGTGTGTTGTGTGCGTGATGTGATGTGTGTGTTGTGTGTGATGTGGTGTGCATGTGATGTGTGTGATGTGTGCGTGTTGTGGTGTGTGTGTTGTGTGCATGTTGTGTGTGTTGTGTGTGTGATATGATGTGTGTGTGATGTGTGCGATGTGTGTGTTGTGTGTGATGTGATATGTGTGTTGTATGTGTTGTGTGTGTGATGTGGTGTGCGTGTGATGTGATGTGTGTGTTGTGTGTGTTATGTGATGTGTGTGTTGTGTGTGTGATGTGTTGTGTGTGTTGTGTGTGTTGTGGTGTGTGTGTGATGTGTGTGTGATGTGATGTGTGTGTTGTGTGTGTTGTGTGATGTGATGTGTGTGTTGTGTGTTATGTGATGTGTGTGTTGTGTGTGTGATGTGATGTGTGTGTTGTGTGTGATGTGGTGTGTGTGTGATGTGTGTGTTATGTGATGTGTGTGTTGTGTGTGTGATGTGATGTGTGTGTTGTGTGTGTGATGTGAGGTGTGTGTTGTGTGTGATGTGGTGTGTGTGTGATGTGTGTGTTATGTGATGTGTGTGTTGTGTGTGTTGTGTGATGTGTGTGTGATGCGATGTGTGTGTTGTGTGTGATGTGTGGTGTGTGCGTTGTGTGTGTGATGCGGTGTGTGTGATGTGATGTGTGGTGTATGTGTGTGGTGTGTGGTGTGTGTGTGTTGTTCAGCATTTCCTTATGTTCTGGCACTATGGAATGCTCCAGGCCCAGAACCAGTGGTGAGGCTCGGAGGGCCTTGTGGTGCCTCTGTAAGGTGGTCTCGGGGTGGAGGACGTCTCTGCCACGTCTCTGTAAGGTGGTCTCAAGCGCATGGTCGCAGAGTGGGGGGGATCTCTGCCATGCCTCTGTAAGGTGGTCTTAAGCGCATGGTTGCAGGGCGGGGGGGTCTCTGCCACGTCTCTGTAAGGTGGTCTCAAGCGCATGGTCGCAGAGTGGGGGGGATCTCTGCCATGCCTCTGTAAGGTGGTCTTAAGCGCATGGTTGCAGGGCGGGGGGGTCTCTGCCACGTCTCTGTAAGGTGGTCTCAAGCGCATGGTCGCAGAGTGGGTCTCTGCTACGTCTCTGTAAGGTGTTCTCAAATGCGTTGTCCCGGGGCAGAGGGTCTTTCCCATTTCCCCATCACAGCTCCCCTGACTCAGGCAAGTGGGTGTTCATTCATCTCCCAAATCCATACCCCTTGCAACTTCCTGTCTCAAATTGGGACATTTTGGGGTTCATGTCATCTGGACCAGAGCAGTGGGGACATGTGGCCAGCTTGCCCAGATGAAAAGCTCCCTCTTCCAGTCTACATCAAAGGTGATTTCAAGCCTAAAACCTCACTCACCTTCCTTGAAATGTCTACGACTTGTTTGAGTTAAAAAAGTCTTTCATTCGGGACAGCAGGTGGCATAATGGTTACGTTGCTGGACCCCCACATAGTTGACCGAGTTTGAGTCCCAGACCTGGTGGCTTAAAACTCACACCAGGTACATGTGCGTGCTCAAAATCCCAAAAGGAGAACAGAGGAGAAGGGACTGCGGCCTGGCCACCCCCCCGGGGGGTGATTTCTTGCTCTCTGTCTCTCTCTCTGTCTTTCTGGCAAGCACATGTGCCCTATAGCAAAAATCTCTCTCTCTAAAAAAGGCTTTTAAGGTTGATTATAGTTTATCCCCTTAAAAGTAAAACATGCTCATGCAAGAACACTTGAGAAGTACAAAGCGATTAAGAAAAGAGAAGGGAAGAATCATAATCTCCTACCTCAAAGGTGACCGAGGTTAATGTTCTGGTGTTTTTAATCATATTTTTAAAATCTGCAGAGAAAAACAACTGAACCAAATATGCCAAATGTTAGGGTTAATTCTGGGCGGTGAGAATATGATTACTGTTTTCTTCCTTGCACTTCCCATATTTTTTTTCAAATAAACAAACAAGTCAGTTTTCATTTTTTCCCCTTGACTATAAAAATAGCACCTGATGAGTGCTAAGAACTTGGACATGGAAGACATGAACGACACACGCACACACACCCCACTAACACACTGAATCGCAGTGTCCGTGTATATGTATGTGTGTGCACACGTATATTTACAAATATTTGCACAACCTAAAAGTTTATTTCTTGGGGCCAGCAGGTAGCATGGTGACAAAGGTGCTGGACTCCCCACATGGTCAACTGCAGTTCGAGTCTTGGACCCGGCAGCTTGCTTTCTCACTCCCCCCTCTCTCTGGTGAGCACATGTGCCCTACAGTAAATTAAAGAACTCATCATCATCATAAAGTTAAATAATTCTTTTTTTTTTTAATTCAACTATTTGAGAGAGACAAGTACTCTCAAGAATCTCGTGCCTCGATTGTCCCCCAGCTGGTCAGGATCAGGGCACACATGCTCGCCCCCGAGGGGTACAGCCCCCTCAAAAACCGAACATGGCTCCTCTACAGGCTCCATCGCTACCCAGCCGGCCTTACGTAGCCCTGAGGCGCACAGGGAACAGGCACCATGAGTGCGCTCCACGCCAGCGTCTGGCTTTCATCATCCGGTTTTCGAGAGCCGCAGAAATAAAGGGAAGTGGTGCAGCCGCGGGGAATGGGAAGCTACCACTGCTACTGAAGCCGACGTCACTCACTGCTGGTCATGTCCACAGTCCACGTCTCTCCCGCTATCGCCCAACCTACAGTGAAGATGGACTGGCTGCATGTCCACACACCACGGGGCAGGCACGCACGCATGCGCTCCTCGACGGAACCGCCGGGTTTGATCCATTCTGCCAGACTGTCCTAGAGACAGACTGGGACAGCTTCCGCCTTACTGCCGCCCGCGGGCTCCAGGGCAGTCTCGTCTCGGCTTCTGTTTGACCCTCTCTGTTGCACTGTTTGGTTTAAGGTAGGAAAGGGGGAGCTTCTGATCAGTATGAAGTCAAACCTCCCAAGTCTGTCTTTCTTACGGGATTCTTCTTTTGGTGTCATACTGAGAAAAACCTGCTCCCTCCACCCTGATGACTCTCAACTAGTTACCCATATCTACTCTGGGATTTCACTTTATTAACCTGAATTCCACTCTTACCAAAGTGGCATGCAGTGTAACGAGCGAGGTGTGTGACATCCAGGAAACCTTTGTGCCGGGAACCCCCAATCGCATGTGCCTGAGAAACCCCCTCCATCCCAGCTGGGTGTGTCGTTTTCTGCCGCAGCTCCAAAGACAACCTGAGACTGCTACCTCTTGGTCATTTTCAGTCGCTAACTGTTGGCTTTTTAGAAAGTTCATTTACAGCAGGGTCTCGCCACACCTCATGTCCCCTCTCCCTAGTCCTCTGGCCTGTCGGTATCTGGGGCACACGTGCACACCCACTGGCACATTTTCAAGGCGCCGTAAGGACCCGAACCTGCGTCCTTCTGCCTCGCGGCTCCTGGCACTGCAGTTCATTTTGCCAAGGACAGCAGCACAGGCCGCTGTTCTGGTATTCTACTGTGAAAGATAAGGACTGAACTAAACGAAACGCTTTTGGACACCCACCCCACACACAGGGTGCTTGCAGCACCCTCTCCACACAGAGCTGGGACTTGGTCAGGTGGACAGTGGTGGTAACGAGGACAACAGGACTGCCACCCATCCTGCACGTGGTGGCCAGCAGCTGGCTGGCCGGTCAGATCCTCAGCAGACCGCTGCTCTAGCCAGTGTCCTGAACAGAACCCTCAGGGAAGGTTCCAGGCCTAACCCCACTAGGCTGCTCCTGAGTTCTTGATCCCCAGCAAGTGCTCACGGCTGAGCGGCTTGGGGCGGCGCGATGTTGCGCAGCCACGTGTGAGTGCACGCTTTCTGGGAGCTGCACTCCGTTGCTTAGTGACTGAACGCTGGTGACGAATCCATCCCTGTGCACTGGCGCTAGGATTCCCCAACCTCCATCACAGAGCATCGCACTTTACCACGGCCGCTGTCTGGCCGTTTTATTTTCTTTGGACAAGAATATGGCTCCGTCTGTCCTCGTGGTGTAACCTTGCATGGTGACATGCCCTGTGGGCCTGTCCTCACCCACTGTGCTGGGCACCAGCAAGCCCCTAATAAATGGGCAATTTGTCATCATTAGCTTTGGGGTTAGAAAAAACAACTTGGGCTTTTTTTTCGGAAGACATGAATGCAGGTACCAGGGAGCTCTGGTCAGCCTGCCAGCCCACCCCCATCCTGCCCCTGCCTCACTGCTGCACGCTCTGCCAAGGGCCAAGTTGATCAGGAAGCTGAGCCACGGCCATGTTTTTTGTTTTTGTCCTTCTTTCTTTTTTGGGGGAGATTTTTGCTATAGGGCACGTGTGCTCGCCAGAAAGACAGAGACAGAAAGACATAAAGCGAGAAATCATCCCCCCGAGGGGATGCCACGCCACAAACCCTTCTCCTCCATTCTCCTCTCAGGATCTTGGGCACGCATGCACACACGCCCGGCGTGAGTTTAAGCCGCCGGGTCTGGGACTCGAACTGCAGTCGACTTCATGGAAGTCCAGCGACATAGCCACTACCCTAACTGCTGGTCCCACGGCCATGTGCTTTAAAGATATTGGAAACATGTCCACGAAGCCAGAGGTAATGATTTACTGAATTGGAATGCTCTTAACAGGCTGCAACGTGAAGTCCTGGAGAAGGCGTGTGCCAACTTGATCAGAGGGGACAAGAAAAGACTCAGGGAGAAAGGACCAGCTCAGGTGACACCAAAACCTCGAGAATCACTCTAAGAACAATGCCTTGTGAGGAAGGTTCTAAGGCATGGGACTGCTTCCAGACGGGAATCCACAAGCGACAAGCTGACATGCACAGACCTTTTGAGGTTGCTAACGGATTACTTCCAGCAGTACGGAACCAACAGCCGAGGGTCAAGTCCCCAATGCGGATGCTTCGGTCAGCTATGTGAATGACTACCGGTTCTTTAAAAACGAAAACCAAAAAAACTTTGTTGATGCTAATTTCTTGTCCTCGTGTCTGTTTTTCACTTCTGGAATTGTTATAATTTTGATCACAACCCTCCCTGGCCGGTCATCTAGATGATATTTCTCAACATTTTCTTTTTCTTAATGTTATCTTCCAGTACGCTAAAGGTCTTTCATTTCTGCCATCGGATTTTAAATTTCCAAGAGCGCTTTTTCTTTTTTTTTTTTCTTTCTTTCTTTCTTTTTTTTTTTTTTTTTTTTTTTTTTGAGAGGTTTTTGCTATAGGACGCGTGCGCTCGCCAGACAGAGACAGACAGACAGAAAGCGAGAAATCACCCCCCAGGGGGAATGGCCATGCCGCAATCCCTTCTCCTCCATTCTCCTCTCAGGATCTTGGGCACGCACGCACACGCGCCCGGCGTGAGTTTAAGCCACCGGGTCCGGGACTAGAACCGCAGCCGACTACGTGGGAGTCCAGCGATACAGCATTGTGCCAACTGCTGGTCCCTCCCCAAGAGCCCTTTTTCATTTTGGGATGTCTTTTTCTTTCTCCTACAGCTATCCTGTACTTGTCCCACGACCGCCTTGTCTCCCCGAGCAAGCGCCGCCCTCCCTTTCCCCGCCCGCCTCCTCCCAGCTGCTCCTCTGTCTGATTGTTTTGGGCTGTGATTTCCTTGGGTGTGTGGCCACTGTGGGTGCTGGCTCACGTCGAGAAGTTGGGGGGCAGAAAAGCTGACACGCTCTGAGCACCTGGACCCTGACTGTCCACGGAGGCTCTGGGAGCGTGGGGTGAGCAGCTCTGTGGGGAGTCCCTGGTGTAACTTCTCAGGCTTTCTCTCTGGGCAGATAAATTCTCTGGAGAAGAGTCGTCCAGGCTCTGGCCTTGGTTAGCATAAAGGCCAGTTTGGCATCCTGGGAGCTCAGCAAGTTGGAGGGCTGGCGTGTGCGCATGTGCACATGTGTGTGTGTGGTGGCACTCTGGGTGTGAACACTCACTTCACCCTGACTTCTCTACGGCAGTTCCACCCTCGAGGGTGCTCCGTGCCCTCTGAGGGCGCTGGGCATGGCCGGCCTGAAGCTTACACAACTGCACGACCCTTTAAAGAAAAAGAATACAAAATGGCAAATATCAAAATAGGTGTGAAAGTGAGTATTTATTTAGACAGGAAAAAGCGTAACAATGACAAGCCTTCAAGCTGACAATCAAGACAAACATCAGGAAACGTGAATAACTCAGTTTGTGTTATCCGGCTTCCTGACACTCCTCTCATCTCCCCTGCAGGAAGTGGCTGCAGGGTCTCTGCTGGCCTCATACTGTGACACAGTGGGTAGCGTGACTTTCTTAGAGTGCGAAGAGAAGCCAGTAGTCCTGCAGGGACTGCGGTTTGTTACCTATTGTTGATGGCCCAAGCCTTTCCAGCTTACTGGCGAGCTGTCCATCTCAGGACTGCTGGAAAGCTTAGGAAGGTCTCACGTTTCGCTCACAAGTAAGCTCTTGGGGCACATGTCAGCATTTCTGGTACAGGAACTAATCCCAAACGCTCTCTGAATTAACGATGGTCATGCCTGCCAGTGACGGCCTAGAGGGCACGCGAGTCCCCTGGGGACGGCCTAGGTATACCATGAGTCTGTCATCGGTGCTACGTCCCCACATTCACTCTGCCAGAAACTGACATGTTCATCAGTGTCCACAGGATTTGTTTCTGATCTTCATTTACTGGATTTTCACACCCTCATCACTATTTAAAATTGACCTGGGGGGCTAGACGACCCAGTAGTAAGGTAATGCTTTACAAGCTGGGCCCACATGGGAAGGTCCTGGGTTCGGGTCCTGAGGCCTCCTGAGTACTCTGGTGACCTGTGCTGCCTGCGACCCTCGCTGGCCGACAGATGGGGGCGGGTCGCAGTGATGAGACCCTGTTGGGGTGCTGTCTCCCTCATGGACTAAATAAACTGATTATCACCTCCTTAATAAAGTATTGCTCAATAAGATAGTCTTTGGTGTCATTTGAAAACTCTTTGCCATACTTGGCTTGATATCAAAATGGTTTCTATTGATTTAACCGCTTCCCTTGATCACTCTGGAGTTCTTACTCCAATTGTCCCTTTGTTTTAAAATAAATTTTGCCAGAGGGCACGTGACTGCCAGAGAGAGAGAGAGAGAGAGAGAGAGAGAGGGAGGGAGGGAGAAAGCGTCCCCAACAGGGCAGGGTCATGCCACATCCCTTCTCCTCTGTTTCTCCATCTGTCAGGATTCTGGCCCCCATGCATTCGCAGTACGGTCTTGGGGCCACTGGGGCTAGAATTCCAACCACGTGGCTGGTCTTAACCACTAGGCCATGGAGCCGGCTCAGTTTCTTGCTCATTTCATTTATAAATTCCTGTAAAAGCCTTCAGATGTGGCAATTAAAGCTGCATACTCCCAGAACCAGCAGATGGTACAGTGGTTACATTGCTAGACTCCCACAGGGCTGACTGTGGTTTGAGTCCCGGACCCAGTGGCTTCAAACTCACACTGTGTGTATGTACATGCATGCCCAAAATCCCGAGGGGAGAATGAGGGAGAAAGGGACTATGGTATGGCCATCCGCCCGGGGAATGAGTTCTCACTTTCTTTCTATCTCTGTCTCTCTGGTGAGCGCACGTGTCCTATAGCAAAAAATCTCTCTAAACAAAACTGTATACTCCCAAGATCCCCTCCCCAAAAAGGTCCATGCTACTCTAAAGCTGCCTCACTGAGGGCCGTGTGAAGAGAGCACAGCTGGCCCTAACGTCCTAGGCCATCCTAATGTCCTAGCGGCAATGTTGGATGTGACCATGGCGGGGTTCCCCCAAGCCCAGGATGAGGCCCGCACAAGCCTTACACAGCTGTTTCCCAAGTCCGTCCCTCTGTGTGACCCTGAGAGTACAGAACTCTCTGGGCAGGGTCCTGTGTGTTTCCGCAGGCGAGGGGAGGTCTCCCAGGGAAAGACACTCAAAAGGGACGTTAGGTGATGCTAGCTGCTCTCAGCCTCACCCCAGCGCGAGGAAGGCGTGTGCCACCACTCTGGAACCTCTGCAGAGTCTGTGCTACTGAGGGGCGGCTCTTGGTTTTCCCAAATGCCAGTTTAGAATTCAGCTTTTTTGGAACTGCTGTCATCAATCTGTCATCTTTACTCAGAACCTGGCTTATTTTTAAACAACAGTTTTATTGAGAGATAACTCACATACCCTAACACTCGCCCTGCTCAAGCGTACGATCTGGTTTCCAGCATATTCCCAGGATCGCGCGGCCATCCCCACTATCTGATGCAGAACATTTCACCACCAAAACAAAACCCCTTCCCTGCCGCAGGTAACCCCGTCCTCCCAGCCCCGGCGACCATGACTCCTCTCCCACCCATGGAACCACAGAGCACGTGGCCTCTTGTGTTGGCGTCCTTCACACAGTAAAGCATTTCCAAATGTCGTCCGTGTCTTGGCGTGTCAGCACGTCACTCCTTCGTGTCAACGGCTAACAGTCCAGCTTCTGCACAGAGCGCACCTCGTCTAGCACTCGTTAGTGGCTGACACGTGGCGTGAGCGCACGTGTCCTATAGCAAAAAATCTCTCTAAACAAAACTGTATACTCCCAAGATCCCCTCCCCAAAAAGGTCCATGCTACTCTAAAGCTGCCTCACTGAGGGCCGTGTGAAGAGAGCACAGCTGGCCCTAACGTCCTAGGCCATCCTAATGTCCTAGCGGCAATGTTGGATGTGACCATGGCGGGGTTCCCCCAAGCCCAGGATGAGGCCCGCACAAGCCTTACACAGCTGTTTCCCAAGTCCGTCCCTCTGTGTGACCCTGAGAGTACAGAACTCTCTGGGCAGGGTCCTGTGTGTTTCCGCAGGCGAGGGGAGGTCTCCCAGGGAAAGACACTCAAAAGGGACGTTAGGTGATGCTAGCTGCTCTCAGCCTCACCCCAGCGCGAGGAAGGCGTGTGCCACCACTCTGGAACCTCTGCAGAGTCTGTGCTACTGAGGGGCGGCTCTTGGTTTTCCCAAATGCCAGTTTAGAATTCAGCTTTTTTGGAACTGCTGTCATCAATCTGTCATCTTTACTCAGAACCTGGCTTATTTTTAAACAACAGTTTTATTGAGAGATAACTCACATACCCTAACACTCGCCCTGCTCAAGCGTACGATCTGGTTTCCAGCATATTCCCAGGATCGCGCGGCCATCCCCACTATCTGATGCAGAACATTTCACCACCAAAACAAAACCCCTTCCCTGCCGCAGGTAACCCCGTCCTCCCAGCCCCGGCGACCATGACTCCTCTCCCACCCATGGAACCACAGAGCACGTGGCCTCTTGTGTTGGCGTCCTTCACACAGTAAAGCATTTCCAAATGTCGTCCGTGTCTTGGCGTGTCAGCACGTCACTCCTTCGTGTCAACGGCTAACAGTCCAGCTTCTGCACAGAGCGCACCTCGTCTAGCACTCGTTAGTGGCTGACACGTGGCCCGTTTCTCCTTTCTGGCTGTTAGGGAAGAAGACTGCCGTGGACATTTGTGTGCGGGATTCTGTGTGGACATGTCTTCTTTTCTTGGGTATGTATCTAGGAGTGAAGCTGCTGGGTCTCAAGGTAACCTACCTATGTCTGACCTTTCGGAGATCTTCCAGACTGTTCTCCAAGGTGGCTGCACCACAGCGGGGGCTGAGGTTCCAGGTGCTCTGCCCCCTCGCCACTGGTTCTCGCCTTTGCTGTTCTGGCCACCCTAGTGGGTATTTCGCCTTGGCTTTGCCTCATTTCTCTAAGGCTGACTGTGCTGAGCATCTTTTCACGTGCTTACTGGTCAACCGTATGTCTCTGGAGAAACATCTATTCATGGCCTTTGCCTATCCTAAAGCTGAGTGTTTTTACATTTTGAATTGTAAGAGTTCTTTATATTCTAGGTGCAATTCTCTGATCAGAATATGTTTCATAAATATTTTTCTCATCTGTGCACTGGCTTTCCGTGTCCTCTTT